AGTGATAACTATCTCTTTTTTATTCTTCTAAGTAGAGAGTAGTATTCTTTAAATTTAATTTATTACTTCTTTTCTCTTTCTCATATCTTATTTATTTACATACATGATATTTATCTGAGTGTGAAGTTTTTCTTCAATAAGTAAAGCAGTATTAATTAAATACTCTTTCACTTATCACTCTTTATATACTATCTTTTAAGATGTTTTAGAACTACACTGATATAATAACTATAAATTACTTTATAAGTAAAATTATCATACTCTGAAGAAGTCTGTACTTCTCACTAGTTTTTAGACATGCTATTAGATGTGATTCAAAGATTGCTTAAGTTAGTATATAATTACAGATATATACTGACTTCTTATATATAGTATACTAAATTAATTAATGACTGCTATAATCTCTTTATATTTATAAGTAAGTTCAGAAGCAGCTGTATTATTATCTAACAGTTATATATTCTTTCAAATCACAGATTGACTTTATAGATATAGAAAAAACTCTGAGAACTAAAAGTTCTCAGATAGATATTATAGTCTTTAACTATATATATTTATAATTAAAGAATAATAATAATAATAATAATTAAATAACTTTAAATCTTATTTAAGTGTTATTAAAAAGTGTTACTTTTTAAAAAATTAAAAATAGTCTAAAAAAAATCTTAAAATGTTTAAAAATAGTAACTTTATACTAAGAATGAAATTAAATGAGATTAAATAAGATTACTTTCTTATTTTTCTAAGTCATAATCTCATTTTAAAATCTGATGAATAGTCACTTTGCATGTTTTTTTAATAATTAGTCTCAGCAGGATTCACACCAAGAAATGTATGAGACCAGATCAAATGAAATCAAATGTGAAATTCATGGTCCCAGCAGCCAGTCTAGTCCCAGCGGGATTCACGCCAAGACATGTATGAGATCAGACCAAATGGAATCAAACATGAAATTCATGGTCCCGCCAGCCAGTCTACTTCACATCACATGACTACCTGGCGCAGCTGTAACATTCCTACTAACAATGTCCCGTGTAAAAGCAAAGTAATTATACTGGTATTACAGCTCGCATCTCAATCCAAGCTGCCAACCATTCAATGTTTTTCGTTCTAGCTTTTATATTAGTCTCGAGGCTACACCGGTGATTCATTATCTGTGATTAATGAGGGGGCGCACCGCATGGACCAGAGCCTCCAGACAAGCCAGAACTCTAGACCCTTGGTTGGACAAGGCATCAATTTTTGTATCCTGAGCCTCTAGGCGTTTGTTTAGGTCCCGGAGCGTCTCCTGGCAACCATCAATCTGCTGGCGAATTTCGTTAAGTGCTTCCTGGACTCCTCTGGAATTCCCCAACACCAACAATTAGCTATTGCCTCTAGAAAGAGCGATAGTTACGATTGGCTCACAGGCTGGGAGGAGGTGAACGTGTGTAAACACAATCAACCTTCTTCTCTGTGCAGAAAGCACAAGGCCGCGTCCCATCACATCTTACTTTTCTAGTCCGACAATAATCACATGCCTATAAATAATCAGCTAAATCGTCGGGCTGAGGTGTCAAGTGAAGCCAAATCCCACCGGCTTTGCGCGTGAAGCTTTCTTCTCAGTGGAGGTGCTAGAAGAGTAGGCACCGTCAATACCATTGATGGTGGCGGAGGCGCTGGGAGCGTCTGGGATAGACTGCCCATGCGAATGGGCAAACGGTCGCATTGCATGCGGGGGCACTAGGAAACCATCGGAAACTCCCGGAGTAGATTGCATTGCATTAGGAGGATATCTACAGCCTTGTACACTGAAGACCCCACAGTAGGCCATGCTGTTCGTCGCCTGTTGAGGATTGCCTTCAGATGGCATATAAGGTGGAATGGAGGTGCTGTACCGCGAGCTGTACGGCGGGCTGTGTCGGTCTCCCGGAGGTAGCACCACCCATCTGTTGGCAGACGAAGCCATCTGTCAAAGATGTCAGGGAATGTGTGCATCGGTAAAAGAACGATTGTGTATGGGGGCTTGAAACAATCTGTAATAGCGGCTGGTGTAAAGGGGTCACGCAGGTGTTTGCATCTTCGGTGGGAGCAAGCGCGCCTTTATATTCCCTTCCATAAAGGTTAACCGACATGCTAGACTTGGTACCATAATTGCTTCTTATGGGGCGACAAGCTGCATGAGCCCTGGACGCCTCCCTGCATCTTGTCGCCCCGTGCCAAGCCATCTCACCTTGTCCCATGATTTGGATACAAAAATGCGCTGCTTTTCCGCCTTCATCTTCCTTCTCTGGGACGAGATGCTACCTTAATCTCTTTTTGATGTCGAGGAATCAGTTGAACCGATGACAAAAGAACAAATATCAAAGACTTTCAACGCTTACCTAAAACGGGCGCGCCGAAAGGTAGAGCAGGGGAAGCAGAAGGTGCAGGAGGTGCGCCCTTTCGATGTCGAGGAATCAGTCGAATCGACAGACTAACATGGAGCGATCGAAAAGTATCGAAGACCTTCGACGCTTACTACAGGAAGAGCAACGCGCGCGCCAAAAGGCAGAGGGGGAGAAGCGAAAGGCGGAAGAACGCGCCGTTCGGGCAGAGCTAATCACTCAATATCGCATCAAACGACACGCGAAACACTCAATCTCCCTTTGATCTGATGTGACTTTGGATAATCCTGTTCCTTAGGGATAGCACAAGGGCTAGGCATAGGAATCAACCACGCCATCTAGCCAACCACCCAATGTCAAATTCACCATACGGCCGAGTTCTGTGGACCCATCCTCCTGTATACCCGTCTCCTCCATATCCCGGAGAATATTATCGATATATTCTCCCGCCCCAGAAAGGTGAAGAATACGAGCAATGGCGTGGTGTAGGGCAAGGAGCCGGGGTGAAGGGGGTTCTATTGATCGGTCGTTTACAAGATAGAGTATGCGAGTAACAGGGATATCTGGTAAGATTCCTGGAGGAAGGAACGTATCAATTCGGTAGGTGTGCTCCTGGTCAGGAACAGGTTCAAAGAAAACAGTAAAGTTGCCGAAATGGGTATGGAGATCACGGGTAAGACTCATAGCATTAAACGGCCGGTCAATATTGACACCATCAATTAAGTGTGAAACATCACAGTCAAACATGTTAAGGATCATGAGTGAGGCTTTTTTGGAATCATCCTAATCATGTCATTTAGTCAAAGGAAAGATTATCTTTGACAAGGAGGCTCACCAATTGAGAATCTGCATTTGCCTGTGTCAGTGAATGTGGAAGTATATGGGCCACTTCTAAAATCATAGATAACTGTCCCTGGAGCGGATTCCCTTCGTCATCTTGAGCAGCATGGCCATGTTGTGTCAGACGAACTATTGCTTCTCGCTGATCGAACTTGCGAGAGATCACGCAACGATGGCGGTCACGGATGAGGCAAGAACCCTGAAGGACTGATATTCGGTCTGGCGTCCCAGTAAATTCATGCATTCCTCCTTGTGCTCTTTGGATTGCGGAAAGGTGTGCAGGAGAGGGCTGTGGAGTGTGCTGGCCGGAAGCTTTGACTGTAAAAAGGTTAGCAGAATCGGAGGGATGAACAGGGCGGCGGATAGGGACCAGACGTGGCAGAAAGAAATTATCTAGCAGGAAGTCTGCGAAGGTGATCAAGTTCTTGCCCAACTGATTCTCCAGTCCCTCATCATCAAAGTCAATATCTTCCTCGCCAGCGACATCTACCTTCATAAATTCGAAGAAGGCACGTAGAAAGATATCTTGCGATAACTCAGAACGCGAATATTCATAGGTATAGCGCACGAGTAGAGGGCGCCTGTATCCAACCCTTCTACTGTTATCTGTTATATCAAAATGGTTTATAATACTGTAGAATCTGCGCTGAGCCCGGGCGCGCTGATCCGCTGCGAAGGGTTGAGGGCCGGAAAAGTTGATGATGCCCTCAAGCGATGACTGATGGCGATGCTGGGAAAATACAGGTGCCATGTTGCTGCAAGAAATGAATAAGGATCGCGGACAGTGCGTTGGAGAGCTAACACCGCCGACACAGATGAGGAGAAGAGCCGTATTACCTCAGCATTTCTTTGTTGAGTCATCAGGCGGAATCTGTGTAGGATAGTTGAAGTTCTTGGAGGATAACGTTATTGTGTTGTGTTGTAATCTAACTACGCCTAAATGGATAGGTTGGGGTGGCACGTGACTAGGGTAGGTGTAGTAATCACCAACACCCCCCCTTGCTACGCTGTGGCCTATAATAAGCCGCCACCTGGGGCCTCCCTCATCCTCAAATCTTTCAAAAATGCAATAATAATTAATTACATGAATTGGACCCTGATTTCCTCATTAGGAAAGGTGTCTGTACAGCAATAACTGTAAAAATCAAGAAATACATACAAAATTCATTGATCTGCTGTATCATCATTATCATTCAATCATTCCTTCTTCTCAATTTTCTGAATGTCAACTCTCTTGACAAATTCTTCAAATGCAGGCTTCATCAGTGACTTGGTGAGCCTGTCAGCTATATTCACTATAGAATTCACATGTTTCATCATGATTTCTCCTTTTTTAATTAAATTGTGAAGAATATGATATCTAATCTCAATGTGATGTGATCTTTGTATTAAGAATTCTCTCTTTACTAGATCAATTGCTCTCTTATTATCAACTTATAGATGTGAGTATATTTTCACTTTCTTATCATTTATCAACTCAGTATTATATAATATATTATTCAATCAGATTATCTCATAAGCTGTTTTACTAGCTGTAATATATTCAGCTTCTGTGATTGATTTAGTAATAGATGTCTGTCTCTGTAACTGCTATGAGATCAGTGACTCATTAATCAATATAATATAGCTGATAGTTGATTTGTATTGAGAATTCACTCTTACTCAGTCTGAATCACAGTATATTACAGAACTCAGATCTTCATTATTAATCTTCTTTCTGTATAATATGTCATAATTCTTTGTCTTCTTAATATAATGTAGAACATGCTTCAATACTGCTTAACATACTTTATATAAATATAAGTTAAAATATAATAAATAGTTGACTGTAAACATCAGATCTGACTAACTACTTAAGACTAAATACTGTAATAATCTCAATTCTTGATAATATCTTATCATTATAAAGTTATCATTTAATTCATCATTCTCATCAGATGAAAATTTCAGTTATATATCTATCACTATTGAAATTCTCACAGAATTAATCTTATTCATTTTAAAATCTTTCAATATTTCTTCAATATAACAGCTCTGTGTAACTGCTAGATTTTCATCTCAGTATTTAATCTTCATTCTTAGATAAGATTTATTCTGTTTGACTTCTTTTATCTTAAATCTTTTTCTGATTTTCATTAAAATTCACTTAATTTCACTCTCTTCAGATTCTGTGATTTGACAGTCATTGATATATAGTATCAAGAATAACTTGTAAATTAAATGATAAAGAAATCTGTTATTATAAAATAAGATCTTAAATTCTAGATTTATTAAGTGTTCTATTATAAGAAAATATCATGTTCTTATTATCTATTTCATTCTGTATAAGCTCTGATATACAAGGTTTACTAATTCATCACAACTGTGCTTAATCTCTGTGAATAGTTATATAAATATCATCTCATTCTGAGACAATACCTTATTTAAAAATATAGATATATAGTCAATCAATCTGACTTTTTAACCTCTTACTGTTAATATAATGAATAAGCTTTATAATGTAGATTCAGACATCACTGCTATATATAACTTATTATAATGAATATCTTATTATTATAGAAATTCTCTAATCACTTAATAAGCTCTAAGATGAATGATTTCATTCTTATTATTCAATTTTCAATTATATACTCATTTATCTGTAAGAATGTTCATTTTCAGAGCCTTTTCAATGATAATATATATCTTCTTCTATTCAAAAGTTTTCACTTTCTTCTTCATTGTCTGATATCAATGTTCTCAGTCATAACTTCTTTTGATCTGTATCAGTGTGATTGAACAGTCATTAAGAACACTGAGTATAGAATCTTCATTATTCACAGAGTTATTCATATCATTATTGACAAGTTCTGTCTCATTATTTAGTAGATATATTAGTTTCAGTGTGCTGTTTATATTATCATCAGTAAGTATCTTTAAAATATCAGGTTTATTCTTTATAAGTCTTCTTAGAAGACAGTGTTATCATCTCTTTATAATATCAAGAATATTCAATTTCTCTGACAGTTTAACTGCTTCTTTAATAATATTCACTGATGCTTCTTCTATAGTCAATTCTTCATTAAAAATAATATCTCTTACAATCTCAAGCTTTCAGATTGCAGGATTTCAGATACAATATTAATACAGTTCTTAATATTCAACTAATTATTATTACTTACTGTCAGTTCTATCTGTAAGCTTATTAATAATCTTTAAATTCTTCTTATACATCTTACATTCTCATCTACATATTCAATGAGCAGAAGATTGAACATCTGTTTAAGCTTTAAAAGAGAATAATAAGATTCTCTTCTGACATCTGTAAATCTTCATTGATATTAAGAATATATTGATCATTATAGCTATAACTTAAATAGCTTCATCTCAAAGTTCTCTTATAAGTCTGCTGTTAAATAGTAAGCTTCTTGTTTTTTCATCTATAATATGATTGACATGTTCTGCAGAGTCATTGAACTGTGATGTATCAGATATAGTAATCTTATATGTGATTTCTTTCTATTAGTAGTAGATTTTTAATTCATTACTTTTAAATTTATCTTCATCATCTCAGTGTAAAGTTCTAATTTAATATTGAGTAGTAATCTTAATTTCATTAATAAAGATTAGTAAATATGCAGTGATCTCACTCTTTAATATTATAAGAATAATTCATCTGTAGTGTGTAGTATTATTTATAATACTTATTCAATAATTAACTCTCTTATAAGTAGAGAGATTGATTTCATCATATAGTGTACAGTTATTATCTACAAGATTCATGAAGAATCTTATCACAGATTTCACATTTCTTATTATTGATATAAATGTTGAATGTGTTATTTTTATCTGTACACAGGTCTTATAGAACAGCAAAGCTCTGTTACTCTTAATTCTCATTCTCAGTCATGAATCTGCTGCTAATTTAGCAATATTTATGAAATTGAGATGATCAAGCTTTTAATGTTATTGTAATATTATGTATTCAACAATCTTGATATTCTTATTAAGTAATGCTAGCAGAGAATCTTTTTTCTCTGCAGACTATAGAATTTTTATAGATTCAAATTCATTATTTAGTATTATGAATTGAATCAAGTCTCTAGTCATTGATTGTTTTTCCAGAATGTAGATATTCTTATTACTCAATTTAACAGTAAAACTTAATATCTTGTCAGAAGAGATTAGCAAGATTGAATGAGTGTTCTCATAGATTAGTTACTTATATATATAGCTCTGATATATAAGCTTTTCAAAACTCATAAGATTAATCTTTAGCTTGAGAATGTAGTGAATGTTCTGCAGCAGCAGATTCACTTCTTTAACTGATATATTCATCTTCTCTATAGCTGTTATAGAAGCTGTTAATCTGTTAGTTATCTTCAATATAACATTAATCTTCTATGACACTATTAATATGAGATTCTTACAAGATGTAGCATGAGCACTGAATTGAGAGTTCAGAACCCAGATATCTTTATCAGTTTAATCAGTAGAATAGACTGTTTCTGTTGTATGAAATACTTACTCAATAATATTATAAACTAATGCTGAGCCTGTTTCATTCTTATTCTTATTCTTATCACAGCTAGTAGAGTGTTTTTCAGGAAATTTCAATCAGTAATCTGTTTGAATGTAATCAATCTTCTGACAATAATAACATATTTTGATAGTATTATTACTCTTTCTATTCAGCTTGATGAAATCTTTATTCTTATTCTTAGAGATCTTCTTCTTCTTCTTATTCTTTTTATTCTTTCTGTTGAAATCTTGAGCATTATTTGCAGAGATCTTTTTATCAGAGATGAGAGATTCATCAGTAGCTGATAATTATAGAAGAATATCTCAATATAATTTCATGAAATCATCTTTAAGTATTCTAGTATTCTCATTCTTCTCTATTACATTCATTTAATTCTTTATAAAAGATGATCAATCTTTACTAATCTCTGTAAGAAGTCTGTTGAAAAAACATGAAATCTTTAATATTATATCTCAATTGAATATAATCAGTTCTGATTGCAATTAAATGTTTAATAAATACACAATCAGAACTCTTTGATTTTAATATTATCTCAATTAATTCTTGAAACAGATGAGTTCTGTGAACAGTAGACCTCTCAGTGAAATTATTCTCTATAATAGATTATAGAGAATAAGCAGATAGTTGAGACTTCTTAAGTATAATGAAGTGAGATTTGACCTGCAGAGTGATCATAGATTATATATAATTATATAGTCAGATATTCTGTTCTAATTAAAAATATTGCATATTCATACTGATATTCTTGTCAGAATTAACCTACTTATCATTAAGAATATCATTCATTTCAGATTGTCTTACTGTAAGTGAAATCTCTTTCTTCTATATAGAGTAATTTGTAGAGTTAGTGAGTATAACAGACTTCTTTATAGATCTTACTTAATCTCTGAATTCATTAAGAATCTTCATCAATGCAGATGTTCTACTCTTTCATTGAAGATAGTTCATTAAATTTATACTGAGCTCTTCATTCTCATCTCGGTCTGGTTCTTAATTCACTTAGACTTCATACTGAAAGTCTTGTAATTTTCTAGTCTTTATATGAGGTCTTCTTTACTCACACGAGCTATTATTATTTCAATTCACTTTGAGCTCTCTGCATTGTCTGATATTCTCACCTGATATCTTTAACCTGAGTCTTTGTATTCAATTGTTTGCACTTGTTCAGACTGTTCTTTCATAAACCATGTCATTCAGCTTAAATACCTCAGAACCTGTCTTTTAATTTATTATTAATATTAACAAGTAATCTGTGATCTTGTGTTTACTGCTCTGATGTTTTCTCATTTCTTTATCTTGACGACATGTATTCTTTTATTAAGTCAGGTATCTCTCTGAATCTTAGATTAA